TGCCACTGTGCCAATCCATCTCTTTGGGGGATCTTCCTCTTTTTTGTTAATCCTCCACTTTACCAAGCATGATGTCCTTCTACAGTGACTGGTCCCTCTTGAAAATATATTCAGAATATGATAGATAAAGTCTCATCATACCAGCTCTTAAGGAGCATTCTGGCTGCACTTCTTCAGACACAGATTTGTTTGTTCTTCTGGTAGTCCATGGTGCTTTCAATTTTCTTCTCCAACACCACAATTCAAATGCATTAATTCCTCCACGATCTTCCTACATTGTTCAACTTTTACATACATATAAGGCTATTGAAAATACCAAGACTTGGGTCAGGTGCACCTTAGTCCTCAAACTGATATCTTTGATGTTGAACACTTTAAACAGAACTTTTTGCAGTAGATTTGCTTAATGCAATACACCATTTGATTTCTTGACTGCTGCTTCCATGAGTGTTGATATATGCCAAAAATAAGAAGTTCATTTTAAGTACTGTTTTAGTGGTGTTCCACAAATGTTCAAATGCATAATTTTGTTTAACATTCAACTGTTTATATTGCTTATTTGTATATAGTAATAATTTAAATTCAGATTTTAACTTAAAAAGTAGTTTGGATAAACATGTGGATTTTTTAGTCATTCTTATGTCAATTATTCCTAATATTATTGCATTTTAGTCACAAATTAAGAATTCTACAGAGTCATTATTAGTTGAAACTGACTGGATGTTGCTTAACAACAGCAACAATGACTAATGAGAAGTCCTGGTTTGGTGCAGAAGGAAAAGTACTACATTGCAAACCATAAGATTTATGGTTCAAAGCCACTAGCTATTTCTCAGAAACCATATATAGGATTACTGTGATTCAGAACTAATTCAATTTTATTTAACAACAACAGCAATGGCTAATGATTATGAACATCTTTACTTGTAGGTTTTAGCCACTTGAATGTCTTCTTTGGTGCACTGTCAATTGATGTCCTTTGTTTGTTAATTGAACAATTTGCTTTTTCTGCTGAGGTTTTGAAAATGTCTATAAATTTAGAAATCAGGCCCTTGTCAGATAAGGTGTTGCCCCCCAAATTTTTTTTTTCTGGTATGTAGGCTC